TGATTATAGATTATTGATTGAATATAGAACATATAGAGTTCATACACTGATTAATGATTATTGATTGAATATAGAACATATAGAGTTCATACACTGATTAATGATTATTGATTGAATATAGAACATATAGAGTTTATACACTGATTAATGATTATTGATTGAATATAGAACATATAGAGTTCATACACTGATTAATGATTATTGATTGAATATAGAACATATAGAGTTTATACACTGATTAATGATTATTGATTGAATATAGAACATATAGAGTTTATACACTGATTAATGATTATTGATTGAATATAGAACATATAGAGTTCATACACTGATTATTGATTATTGATTGAATATAGAACATATAGAGTTCATACACTGATTATTGATTATAGATTATTGATTGAATATAGAACATATAGAGTTCATACACTGATTAATGATTATTGATTGAATATAGAACATATAGAGTTCATACACTGATTAATGATTATTGATTGAATATAGAACATATAGAGTTTATACACTGATTAATGATTATTGATTGAATATAGAACATATAGAGTTCATACACTGATTAATGATTATTGATTGAATATAGAACATATAGAGTTTATACACTGATTAATGATTATTGATTGAATATAGAACATATAGAGTTTATACACTGATTAATGATTATTGATTGAATATAGAACATATAGAGTTCATACACTGATTAATGATTATTGATTATTGATTGAATATAGAACATATAGAGTTCATACACTGATTAATGATTATTGATTGAATATAGAACATATAGAGTTCATACACTGATTAATGATTATTGATTGAATATAGAACATATAGAGTTTATACACTGATTAATGATTATTGATTGAATATAGAACATATAGAGTTCATACACTGATTAATGATTATTGATTGAATATAGAACATATAGAGTTTATACACTGATTAATGATTATTGATTGAATATAGAACATATAGAGTTCATACACTGATTATTGATTATTGATTGAATATAGAACATATAGAGTTCATACACTGATTAATGATTATAGATTATTGATTGAATATAGAACATATAGAGTTCATACACTGATTAATGATTATTGATTGAATATAGAACATATAGAGTTTATACACTGATTAATGATTATTGATTGAATATAGAACATATAGAGTTTATACACTGATTATTGATTATTGATTATTGATTGAATATAGAACATATAGAGTTCATACACTGATTAATGATTATTGATTGAATATAGAACATATAGAGTTCATACACTGATTAATGATTATTGATTGAATATAGAACATATAGAGTTTATACACTGATTAATGATTATTGATTGGATTAATTAAAGTTAATGACTCTAAATGTTAGAAGA